CTATTAATGAGATCTTCAATTCTCATTTAGGTCGCGTTGGCCAAAAACCGCTCGATCTAAAATTCGAGTTTTGGGTCGTGCACTGTTATGACAAATCTTAGAAAAATCATAACTTCCTCATACGAAGTCAGATTTGGGCGTTCTTTTTATGCACGCTCTCGGTTTAACGTATACTACAACTTTTGTTTAGGTTACTAAGGCTAAATAGTCCTCTATCGTAAATTCACTATTTACGTCGCGCAGTGTCGTGCCGGTTCCGTCGCGAAATTTTGACGTGCCATAACTTCTTCGTTATAACTCGGATTTCGGCGTTCTTTATATGTACGGAACCCTTGTTACATATTCTACAACTTGGTTAAGATTACTACTTCTAAATAATCTTCCATCAAAAACTCATTTTTGATGCTCATCATCTCTAAATTGACTAGCCCGAATTTACGGGCGTTACATAAAAGTTGTTAGGAATCTTCTCACCAATAGGTAGAATGTATTTGATTATTGGAATTAATCCATCAAATGAAGAGTATGATACATTGCACTCCGATTTCTAGTTGAAAAATCTGGTGGTGGTGGAGAGTGTGGAAGCTTTTTTAGACCCGTCCTATAAAGGCTCGCTAACTTGGTTCAACATTTTATAGAAAGTTTGGGCTGATTGATTTGGGTTTTGTTGTACTTGTTGAAAGTAAGGAGCTTGTTGACTGTAAGGAGCCTCAGGTTGATGCATGCTTTCGATAATCATCTGCTCGTATCTATGATAATCACCCACACCTTCATCATTGTCTTGAGACGTTTCAGGGTTTGAACATTGACCATTTTCTTGTGTTGGATATAATTCGCCATGTGCATACCAAAACATATAATCTTCAATGAATCCTTTCTGGCATAGATGCAATTCAACTAAATTTCTTGTCTTGTAATAACGATTTTTGCATTTCTTACACATACATCTAATTTCAAAAACCTCCACCCCTTCCATAATATTATGTTGGATGTTTGTTGCGTTCGTGTAAGTAAAGTCCAAGAAATGATTGACATAGTGTCGAAATTCGGTATTGAAAGCCCCATTCCTAGTAAGTATCTTTGTGTACATCCATTCTCCATTTGATGTCATTTCGATCTATAAGCAACATTTAACCTATAATTCTACTTAATTAAACCCTAAACAAATTAACATAGCAATGTACTTTACACTAAACAAATAAACATATCAATGTAGCATAACCTAAACAAATAAGCATAGCAATACATGAAACACTAATCAAATACGTTGATGCAATATATGAGACTATTTAACTCTCATTAAAATGAACTTGTTCTAGTAAACAAGGATAAATTAAGTAATGATATCGGTAAGGAATATAGTAAGACAAAAGGTCAAACAACAGAGGATACGACTTTAGGTAGTTAACACCTAACGAAAGTTTTATGTAAATGAAACAGAAAACACAACATAACATGCCCTCTTATAAGAAAGTCATGTTACCAACAAAAGAAAAAAAAATGTCAAATAATCTTACAATAGTTTAATAGTAAGCTACAGGTTCGGAACTAGAATAATTGATGTTTTTTGTCAAAACTCCTTGCAATATGTTGATGCAACAGCATGTATAGTCTTGACCAAAATAAGCCAACATTTAAAATATACATGATATGCAACCTTAATTGAAGATATATACAGCACATACTGTTGGAACAAAACTGCACACATGGGTGCCAAAACACAACACAAATCTGCTATCTTAAGGTGAGAAACGAAACAGGAAAAACAAATGGTGTTTGGGACTCATTTTCTATGTAGTTCTCATGCTAAAATAGATTACAAAGAGAACTATATATAGCCAAAAAACAAACGGAAATACTAAAAACCTACATGCATGTGCTTCCTATCAAAGTGGCAACTAAGCCCCATTATTCTCCTTCAAACTTGGTCCATATGACCAATTCAGCAACTAAATGGATCTGACTAAAACTAACCCGTGACCCATCACAAAAACCCAATTAACCTGACTTGAACCATCAAGATTATATCCAACACATACAACTTATTTAACATAGAATTTACCAAAATCAAGATTAACATTTACTGTCATACATAAACTAAATTTCTGAAAATTTGAAGTCTTGTGAAAGTGTGAGCAAACTGAAATCGAAATACATACCTGGGGTGTCGCCGATGGTGGTGTGGGGCAGCGACGGTGGTGGTATGGTGCAGTGACGGTGGTGGTACGGGGCAGCGTCGGCGGTGGTGTGCGACAGCGATGGTTGGAGGGCAAACCTGCAACTCTTTAGTCAATGTGGGTCGCCGATCCATCATTTAGAAATCGCATAATTCAAATTGGTTACCTGAAATTGTCGCCGATGTAGGTATCAGTCGAGAATCGTCGGCGGATGTGTACTGCAGCAGAGGTCGGAAATCGCCGGTGTAAGGTATGGTTTTGTTTGGGTAAGTTTGATCGATGAGTTGCACGATCAGTGGAGCGGGAAATTGGGTTTTAGGAGGTGTAGCAATTCTGTAGGTATAAGGATGCGTAGGAATTTTGTAGGTATCGACAAATTGGCAAATTGATGTATTATAATTAAATATGATTTCAAAATTATCTATATGCTATGTTTTTTTTCAATATAAATAACATAGTGTATAAATATTCTATTTTTTTAAAGGATATATTTCACCATTTTGATTCATTATAAAAATATAACTTAAATCAAGTAATTGAATATAATCCCATCGATATAGTATTTACTGAAATTTAAATTTATTAAACTTTAATATTTACTATAAAATTTGTAAATATATAAAACAAATCAAATTTAATTTGAAAAATATGTTTTTAGTTCATCTACAATACTTATTTTAATATTTCGGATATATAAAATATTTCATAGAAAATCTCCTTATGAAAATTATTAATTCGCAGTTTCAACCACAGAGAACAAAATCATTTTGAGTTATCCCAAAGCAAAAGGTGCAGCGTTCTTTTAAATCAATTTTACTCAAGTTTACAAACTCATTCTCACATATTAAAATATACAAATAGTTATATCATGTATATTAGGTCTAACTTGTAAACATTTTTTGTTTATATTTTTTAAATTTTCAAATCGATGTATTATAATTAAATATGATTTCAAAGTTATCTATATAATATGTAGGTAAATACCTACGAATTATCTATAGATAAAGGTAATCGGTAAGTATTACGTAGGTATTTACCTACAGATTAACTACGAATCTTATTTTTTCTTCTATTTTTAAAGGGTCAAATGTTGTTTTTTTTGTTTTATTTTTTTCACAACATCATTATACTTTGA